AACCCCCCCCCCCAAATATTGTTATTCAGTTATCTTATTAATAGGCCTCATAAACTTATCGCTGTATCACACTCTTACTTTTATTATCAATTCATTTAAATTAAAGGAAAAAATGATGAGTTATTGAAATTAAGAGAGTTTAAAACCTTTTCTATAGTTCTGACTGTGTTTTACCTCTTTCGGACTGTTAAAACTACTTTTATCCAAAGTCCTGATCAAAACTGGTTTTGATGAAAAAACATGATTTTTGTATTCAATTAGATATTTTTTTGTGTTGTGATGTTATTTAGTGGAAATTCTGGAAACTTGGAAGAACATATGTCTAAAAATTACAACAGAAAAATTTGGTGTTAAGTTGCTAACTGCACCAGTGTGTTTTACCATTATATTGCCCTAATCACATATTGACTTGTATATGTATCATTAATTTTCACAACTGACATTTCAATAACTTTTATTAAAGGATGGTGATAAGTGCGGAATGAATTTTTTTTATTTTATGATTTCCTTTTAAATTATTTTTTTCCGGAAATTTTTTGAAAATTAATAATTTTATATAATATTAACTATAATTCATTTACTGTCATATTAAATCTATTAATATTTGCTTTTATTGGCCAATACTTTTAGCAAGTTCAATCATTAAATTTAACCTATTTTAATTAATTATGTGATCAAAATTTTTGAATGAAAAAAAGCATCTTTTTTCATTCTTTAGAAATAGAAAATTCTCTAAACCAAGTAAAGAGGTATAGCTTTTTATCATTTAATTTTTGTTGCTTTTGATAATGTGTAATATTTTAATTTTGAATCAGAGAACTGGAGAATATATTTATATGATATTGAAACTATTTTTCTATTTGTAAATAATAATCAGATATATTAAATAAATTAGTTTATTTTTAAATTTATTCTTAAATTTTTTTACTCCAAATCTTAGTTATTGCTTAAAATACAATGAAATTTTCTGAACATGTCAAACTTTGATTTTTTCAATTTAAAATTAATAATAACATATTTTTTAAGGGAAATATTGTTAAGGGAATTATTATTCTTATTGACTTATAAATTATTTTAAGAATGAATTTTAATTCTTTTCCTGCATATATACAAATATTGCAATCAACAGCTTTTAATATATGAAACAACTTATTTATTTTTGATCTAAATAAAAAATATATTTTAGCTTTCTGTATAAATTTTTTTAACAGTTTAATTATTTGAGAAAATTTTTTTTTTTTAGATTTAGTGATATTTATTTAAATATTGTTTATGTCTGTACTTTTTCTCTGTTCATTGCATTAAACTATCCATTATTGATGTTAGTTATCCAATTTATATTATGAAATGTATTATCTCATAGCTAATTATATTCATTTTAAATCTTGATATTTTTTAATTTAATTAGTTTTTATTAGTAGGAATCTTTTGATAGTTTAGATCTACTGATGATTTAATTTTTAGATATAACCATCGACTTTTTAAGAAACGAAATTATTTCAAAATTTTTTGTACCAGTTTTTAAGACATTTTCTTACCTCTAATTATTTTGATTTTAAATCTTGTTAGTTTTTTAATTTAGTTATTTATTAGTAGTGACTTGTAGTTTTGTTACACATTGTCTGCACTGTCAATTAAAATATTAAAAATAAGTTTTCAGTATTTTAATTATTTAAAAGTGTGTGATTTATTTGCCCCAGTTTTGAAATTATTATTACAATAATAATATTTTGCCGTTGCTTAGCCTAATAAATCTTTGTATTTTCTGTAATAATTTTGTAATATTTTATTTACATCAACTTTTGAAATTATAATATAATTTTAATTTCTTATATATATTTAACATATCTTTCGATTATTAGTCACAAATTTTTTTCATGTTGTCAGAAGTTGTCTGTAGTCTAATTTATTAAATATGTTATTTATACTGCTTCTTTGCAATGTGTTGTTAAGTGCTATAATAATTTAACACAAAGGTGTTTTTTTTTATTAGTATCAATCTAAAATTATTGTTACTTTTGTATGGTTTCTCTGTATAGGATATCTATTAATGTTTTGTGCTGATTATATATATTTTCTTGCACAAAATGATTTTATAAACATTTTGTACTTTCGGGAGATGTTTTGTCTCTAATTCTAATTTAATATTAAGTATCTAAGTGCCAAAGATAATATTTATTCTTTAAATTTTTGCATGATTTAGCTGTATCTTAAGGCTAAAATTTATTTATTCTCCGTTTGATTTTCAACATTATGGGTATTTTCAGAAACTGTGTCTCAACAAGATAGCCTTTTCACTTTGCCCTTAGACTATCTGAAGTATGTATTGAAAATATGAAAGAATGAGAATGAAAGCTTCTTTTTCAAATATGATGCGTAAAAGTTCATATCTGAGCTAGTATCTCAAAATAGATTGAAGTCGTTTCCGAACACAACTATCTAATAATCTGATGTATTAGTAACACATTTTGTTTGCTGTAAAAAGTTGTTTTTATTTAAAAAAAAAAGAGAAAAATCTGAAGAAAAAAAAAGTTCAGTTGTGAAAGTTACCTTCTGAAGTAAATTAAACTTTCTTATTTTCTACACTTAGGTAAAATAAAATTAATTTTATACATTTTAAGTCATTCATTTAAATTTTCTATAGAGTCTAAATCTAACCTTCATTTTTATAATTCAGCTTCATGTTAATGTTGGTACTCAGCATGCTATCTTTTAGTTTTTGTGGAAAATTTGAAAAAAGGTTTGAATTAATATTAAAAATCACATTTTAAACATAAATTATTAATGTTTAAATTGTGTTCACGACAGATATTAATGTTCAAAATGTGTTCACAATGAATATTATTCTTTAAAATGTGTTCATAACAATTATTAATGTTTAATATATTTTAATTTGTTGTACAAATTTTATACAGGCAATCAAAATAACATCAGGGCAACAGAAAAACAAATTTTTAATTCAAAATTTTCGCATTATGTTTTTAAGATTTTCAAACTTAAATGTTTATTTATTTGAAACCTAATTTTAGTACATTCGTATAATTTTAGGACAAATTAATTTTTAATTTTAATAATGTTGTAAAACCTACATTCGATGGTTTCATTCAATGTCTTGATTGTGATACATAATTTTTTGAGGTTTCCAAACTTAAATGTTCATTTATTATAAAAATAATTGTTGCATGTTAGTCTCTTTTATGACAAGCAAATTTTATATTTTAATTAAGTTGGAAACACTAAATGGGTATGAAATATCACAGACAGGGTCAATATGCTTTGATTTCAATTGTATCATGAGTAATTAGAAAAACTGTAAAGAATAATTTTTAACTATATGAACCATAACCACACCATTAAATTTATGTAAATGTGGTTAGATATTAGAGGTCTGTAAATCGAGTAGATTTAGGGGAAAAAAATATTACTCTGTCCTGGAAATAATCAATTTCTGAATCTGAGTTCAAAATAAGTATTTTTATGTATTCACGATCGCAACGCTCGAATACGCCATCTGGGGAGTAGCCCAGTTCCATGCCTTTGACCCTACCCTCTCCTCCTTTTTTCAGTTCTATAGGAATGTACTTCGATATTTTTCCTTTTCTTAATATTTTTCGTATTTAATTGTCAATAAGATTTTTTTTTAAATTTTCATGACGCTTTCTTTTATAACAATGTGTAATGTAGTTTTTTTTCTCCAGTTCCATGTAGTTTCCTAACTTAAAAGATATTAATCTATTTGAAAATCAAGACAGAAGCTAATGTACTTCCTTCTTCTGTGACTCTGCACACGCTAATGGTGAAAGCATGCAAAGTATTGCTATAGGTAGAGAGTTCTGCTCTACCTGTAGCACATTTTGATCGCCAATTACCTTTATATAAAAAAAAAAATTTAAAAATATTATTTTTTTCATATTTTAGGATTGATGGGGATGTATACTTCATATATAATGTTATTAAATTCATAAAATATTTATAATGATATTAAATTTTTTGTTACTTATTGCTCTTAAGTAAAGTTTTTCTACAAGCTGGAAAACAACAAAAATAATTTTTTAATCCAGACTTAAAGTTTAAAATAGTTTATCTTGATATATTTTAATTAAATGGATGAATATATTTTATGAATATGGCATTTTGATTGTTTATTTTAACTGTGCCATTGTTTTTCAATCAAAAATATGTTTGAGAGAAAAATATGAATTTTGAAATCAGAAAAATTACACAGTTTCTGATAATACCCATACATTTAGAAAAAGAAAAGTATAGTTTGGGTATGGTAAGAACTTCCGCCCCCCCCCCCGCCACCAAATCTGAGGCTGTCTGCTGCTATGGAAACAAGACTAGTGCATTTCAGTGAGGGTATCTTCT